AAGACGTTACTAGTTTAATTAGTGGAATTTTTCCTATAGTCACGAAAGGGAGTGTTTACGAATTCTTCATAAGTGTTTCTCACTGAGTTCAAAGTTTTACATTATGCGATGAAGTCACCCACAGAATAGTGAGTTCATCATTTAATTTGTTTGCCATACGTTGCAATTTCCTTCATTCAAATGAATATTTCTTAACAAGGAAGTATTAACTATAAAGTTTTCTCACGCAAAACCCGTATGCTGAGTGTAAACGAGGCCTGAGAGATGCTATCAATCACTGAGAAAAGCTGCAGAGTCCAAAAACATTTGTAATAGTGTGTTTATTAGATAATTTGCTACAAAAAAAAGTAAAGAATAGAAAGCTTTCGGCGTTGATTCATTCCTGAGGGATGCGCCAAGCACTCGAGTCCATTAAGCATCGTTTGGAGGTGATTGACTGCATCACTGGCCTTTACAATGACTCGCGGTGACCCGCCGATGTGTCCAGCCAGTGGTGCTTCTCCCAGATAAGTCTGGTACCATTTTGCCGACCCCGGATGGATGGAAGGCTTGGCGAGTCACGGGACTGGAGATCGATCCCATGTTTGTGCGTCGCAGGGCATACAAGTATAAGTAACTCGATTAAATTCTTCGAATATAGTCAGTCTATCTTTGCTTTATACAGCAGCGGTTGAAAACATTTTTTCAATTAAGTCAAAACAAAGGAGTTGCTCAAACATTTTCAGAATTTTCTGACTTTTCGATGGTTTTTACTTGGGTGCTTTCAAAAACCATCTCCTTTGATGTTTTGATGCCGACCCTTTCGATATCACTCTACCATCAAAATTAAGCACTACAAGGATCTGAATAAAGTGGAAATCTTCGGAGTCGAATCAATCTGATCATCGAATCGGAAGACTCGCGAAGCATCTGAATTATCTAAAGTCGAAATTGCCTGCGACGTTACATATTTCCTCGTTGCCATCGGATAAGTACTGTTTTTACATGCTCATCTTTAGCTGGATTGTTGATGATGACATCCAGACGGATGTGTATTTACTCAGCAGTTCTCGTTCGTTCACAATCTTGTGTTGTCCACTCTCGTTAGTCGTTATTTTCGTGGTCATCATACCGCATGTATAAATGCGCTCTTGTCTCCGTACTTGTATAAGTTCCTGTATATACATGTGTTTATTTATATTCGCAACGTGTGTATTATGTGTATAAATAAATAAATAAATGAATAAATTAAATGCGTGTGTATTCGTATTGCGCATATATACACATGTATGTAGCTACGTCTGTTGGTGAAATGTGCATACGTAAGCATGAATGTCTGTATGTGTGCTGCACATGTGTATAGCTGATATCATGCTTGTATTGTTATTGTTGATAATAAATTGTATGTATCCATGTATAATCCAGGGTTTATCTCACTGCCTGCGGAAGACACCGTGCTGATGTTTTGGAACACTCTCCCACCCTCTTCAGCTACCCGTCGCTCAACGACATAAAGATGTTTTCGGCGAATTCTCAAGTAATCTGATAATATGAAGCATTTTCTGCGGCAATGGGGATCCAACCCACAAAGCGGTACGGAATGGCAATGTCTCTAACACATCGCAGAAGCGCAATCATCTAGCCTGAGTATCGATCGTATATAATGTAGATGAAGTTCGAAGAGAGATGGTAGAGGTATATGCATCCTTTCACTTATGGACTAAGAAGAGGTGGGCAGAAACTTTATTCGGCTAACGTTTCGGCGCCTTCGTCTTGCTCAGAACAATTCTAGACAATGGGCTGACTCTCAGAGCAATCAGATTTTGAAGAAAGAGAAGGGGCAGAAACGTTAGCAGAATAATGTTTTTTTATCAACCTCGTGCTAGTTTATCGATGAAAAGATACGTATAGGTTAGTTAAGGGAAAGCTAACGAAGACGGTTTTCGAAGGATTTAGGTATGTGTTTTAAATTGTTGTGCTTACACGAAGTTGATAAAGATATTTATTTCGGCTTAGATGGAGGTATGGTTTTCCATAGGAGAGAAGGCATAGTAGAATACCAACTAAGTGGTGTTTTAGAATGACCTTAATCAGACAGCAAAAAGACCAATGATTCTTTTTTCGTTCGCATAACCACAAAACGTCAGAAAGTACGGAAAGACGGTTGCATGAGTTTCTACCATTTTAAGCAAAATTATTGTTATTTGCTCAGGTTTGAATAATTCTGAAGGCGAACGCGGAAATTTTTCAGTTTTTACAACGTTAAGCTTTTTGCTTAGGCTTCACACACCTCATTCATTCAAGGTCCATATGTAAAGAAATTCACGAAAACAGTTGAAAGAGGTGAAACAGAAAAGATGAAGCAGAAGAAAAGGGCGAAACGCATCCCACTCTACAAAATTTTCTAAGCCTTCATTTACTTAGTAAATGATGGGGCACCTTAGACGTCGAAACACACTCTACCGCAAGGTTATGGTCAATACCGAAGTGACGTAAGTAGGAATAGAACTTGACATTTCTATTCGGAAGGCCAAATAATGGTAATCCGACTCCAAGAGTGGCTGCTGTCCTAGGAGAAACCTAGGTGCAAATCGGACAACCGCACTGAAATCCACGAAGGACATCGCTAATGCGCTGACGACCTAGAAAACATTATGCCAGGGATTCGAGACCCAAGAGAAAAAGTTAGTTGTGTCTAACTTTTTTATTAACTTTATACCTAGATAAAGAGGATAAAGGATAAACCGGTCGGCGTTGATCAGTCCTTGAGGGATGCGCCATGCATTCGACTTCATTAAGTATCGTTGGTGGTGATTGAATGCATATCTGGCCTTTATAATCACTCACAGTGGCCTATCGATGTATCGAGCCAATGCTGCCATCCTCCCAGACACGTCTGGTACCAATTTGCCGACCCCGGAGGGAAGGAAAGCTTGGTGATCCATAGGCGCGGGGATCGACTCCACGTGTGTGTCGCAGTGGCGCCTCCGACTACTACGCCTCACACGCTACCTCACATCTAGGCAGCATTTAAAATTTCCTCTACAATGTTGCCTTTTCGACAAATGAGAATAATTTTTAGATTAATAAAATAATTTGGAAGTTCATGACTTTATACACTCAAGGAGAAGACAATGCTCTGTCGCACCAATCGTAGGTATAATTTTAAACGGCGTCTTCTGAAATTTAAATGGGTCTAAAATCAGGTTTTTTAATCAATTGGACATGAAATTTGCATGTTTTAAAGCTTGCGACGCAATAACGTGCGCTACAAACATGAACTATACATTGGGGAACACCATTGTGTCCTGCTATACGAAATCGCGTTCGTTCATTTGCTCTCATGACTGAAATATGAGTCTTGAAGCAAAAGTGTGGAAGAAATATACATATCGTGAGCTCCAGAAAATTAGTATTTCGGCTTAAAAAATAGTAAAACTTCCGTCATGCAGAGAAATATTTGTAAATTCTAATGCTTTGTAGTGAAATTAATAAAGTTCACTACGAACGAAGATATGTTAATTTGAAGTTACAAACGGTCACTATTTTGCATCATTTCATTCCTGTAGAAAAGAAGTCTTCGCATAAATGTTAAAATAGAATTTCATTTCGCTACCGAAAATGACAGGCCGTAAGATGAAATGATCTCATCCGATTAGCAAAAATCATTGGATTATGATTCCGTCGGGATAAGGAAATAAACGTCACGTAGATAGCTAGCGCATACGAGTTTTCACGCAACGAGGACGAGTTTTAGTGCGAATATGTAAGTCATTTGGTTGAATGGCTATTATTGCGCAGAGCAAAAACAAAATTCCAAATCTGTACAAATGGATAGAGAGACGAGCAAGCAAAGTGGAAACAAGGATTAAAGGCAAAAGAATGAACAGTCCAAATCACATCAACGCAAATTTTTTCTCTTAATTAGCAATTTTCTAAGTTTCGCAATGGAAGACGAAACCTAAGGTAATTATTTTTTTCGACGCCAATACCTAAAATCATGAGAAAGGAAGGATATAAAGGATAGCGGATAAAACGCTCGGAATAGAAGAATCCCTAAGCGATGATCTTATGCATTCGACCTCACCATGTCAAGATGAGATGACTTAATGCTTATCTGACAGATACAACAGCGTTGATCAGCCGATTTGTAAAGTTAGTGTTTTTGTCATATTCATAAAATGCTCTACGATTTGGCAACTTAAAAGACGTGGAATAGCGCGAGGTCGAACCAACGACCACATGTGTTTTGCAACGCTCTTCTAACCATTGTCCTAATCAAACCCACAAGACCAATGTACACATGAGTAAACTAAGCTGTTCTAGAGTGTCTCATGGGTTTTAAATAGCGTTATCACCCTTTATTTAAACCACATCATTTTCTAGCCATAGCTATCGCAACCGTGAAAGAAGTTACGGTATTTAAGTGTTACGGTAGGTGAACTACTGTAAGGCGAATTGCCTGTCGGCTACTAACAAATTCATATTGACGACGCTTTCGTGGACTGGATCTGCTCAAAGATTTACCACTACACGAATTCTATACGAACAAACTCTTTAGATGCTTTTTGCCGTTCATATCTATACAACTCGAAAACTGTCAAGTAAATCTGTTAGCAGCAAATGAAAAATCCGTCAGTAACAATACCAGGAAGGAGTATGGACAGCAAACACGGCCAAAAAGAATCAGAAACAACAATATGTGTTGTAGTGGCAAGGCGTTCTCCTAGCAGTAGATAGATAACTTATTTAAATTTACAAACGGTTGTCCAAAGTCTATGTAAAAGTTTGATTTGTTTCCTCGCTTAGTAACATCTCAATTACAAGAGAAAAACGTTTAAGCACGCATAACAATAAAAAAAATAGCCGATGAATATGAAGCGCATACTATTAGCTCTTAAAAAAGAGAAGAGAACAGTTTTTAGCACGGGAAAAAGTAGGAAAGTTGCCAAACTTCTTATAATCGACGCCGTTTTCTATCAAGCACCTTCTAAGCGCTCATTGTTTTTGTAGCAAACGAACTAACCTCCTTTAACTCTGACCATACGATCGACTTCTGAGGACGGTGGTGGTGGTGATTCGTCGTCATTGTCGATTGGCATTATCGACTCAGTATCAACTCCTTCGAGATTGTGAAGCTGAGAATTCAGCTGGCGACGCTTTTCGACCAGAAAACAGTACTCACACTTACATTCAGCATAAGGACATTCGCACTGAAGATAGCCATGTACTATGATCACCTTATCGGATCACTAGGGAAAAATGCAGACGTTGTTTGTAGGGAACCAAAAGGATAAACAGTTTTTGAAGCTTTTTCCTGACGTTGTTCCTATTAGTATTGTTCCTCCTGTCTAAAGTGGAGACGGAAGGAATTTTGATGAACAGAAAAAGATTTCTTTCACGATGAATTGACCTTGTAGATAAATATGTAAGGAAGTGAAGAGAAATCACCAATTTAGTATATCACAAAGTTGGTCTACTATAGTAGTTTATTCTAAAGCAAATTCTATAGAAAATAAACTCAGTGGAAGAAGTGTTAGGATCGACGTGAAATATGGAAACATGGGCAATTGAACGAAGAGTCCTTCACTAATTTGATTTGTACATATTGTTTTTATTTCGTTCTAGAATAGGTTACGGTATATATATATATATATATATGAGATTAATATGATGTAGCTCTGCCTTTCAACCTACCTTATGATTTTTTCGCGGTAACCGGGATCCGTGATTAAGACAGCGTTGACAGAAATAGATTTTTTTGTTATCTAAAATATGATTTTTCTAACTTCAAAAAAGTAAATTTTATTTGAGATAATTTTCCGTTTTGAAGAAAGGTCAAATACAAAAAAGGCTTAAAATAAATCTTCCAAAAAGCGTAATTTGCAGAAAATATATCTAATTAACTGAACTCTAAGCGGATTCCTCGAGACGTCTTTCTTTAAAAACAGATTTTATGAGTAGTAAAGTATTGAAGAAAAAAAGAAAAAGTAAGGAATTGGTCCCGAAGTAACCTTGGCAGAGTATTGGGCAAATGAAAACTCTTCGAGATAAAAAAAAATGAAAGTCTGAAAAATTCATCCAGGGGAACTTCAAATGTCGTCTCCAAGTTGTAGAAATTTGGGTTTTTTCAATTTTTTTTTGTCCTCAATCCAGCGGTCAACGGTGAAGTCATGAAGACAAAAACAGAAATTTGTAAGAAAAAATTCTCTGCTATCTGAAATGGCGGAGCGAGTCGTTTACTTAATGGAACTGCAGAAATTCATACCGTTCTCGCTAATCAATGCTAGTTGTCCTAGCTGTGGTTTATGAAATTCTGGCACTCTGGGCAGAAGTTCATTACGTTCTATTTGAAGCTGAAAAATACTGCATTGAAAAACTAGACTGCCAAACAAACACCAACAGAACAGCCGATCTAATGAAAAGCATAACCCAGTTTTTCACCTTTACATGAGCTTTTTCTCGTACTACATGATCGTTGCCCTTTTTCATTAGGTTGTTTGTCTCGTACTCGTTATTCACTAAGGCCTTATGATATCGACAGCAGTTTGAGGATTGTGGTCTTCCTCATGATCTCAGCGAATGCTGGTGGAATTGATTCACCATGGAGCCCCGAGATAGCTGTGCTAGGATGTTCCCAAACCTTCACAGAAAGTCACTAAAGTTTTCAGCTATTGCTCGAAAATCAGGCACAGTAGAACTAAACGTCAGAAAGGTTTAGTTCTAATTTGTCGAGCACGGAAGAATGGGAGGGTTACTTGGCCCAAGACGATGTAACTTTGTGTATTTCACGGTACCTCCAACCAATGTTGTTAACGCACCTCTATTACAAATGTACATTTTGAGTTAATAGAAGCTTACATTGTGTGTTGCTGTTAAAGTTCTATCGATAGAATAGTATCATTTAGGTGGCAGTCAGTATGTTATAATGTTGGACAACGGATGTCCATCTACCGCCATCGATCGTAACTCGGTGCAGATGGTAACTTAACCTCATTAACGGTCTATACAACTACAAACCATTACTAGTGCAGCTTAATTTCTGTTCTATCTACTTAACATTTACCGTTCATAGTCGTATAGTTAGGCGAAGAAAGGAAACCCAGTCAGACTGAATCGCGAAAGTGACTGTTAGCGATGACTTCAATTTCAGCATGCCATAAAGGTCGTCTTTTTCCAAGAATTGCAAAGAAACAATCAAATTGCTTCAAACAATTCTCCGTGTTGTTGAGCAAGCACGAGGGGCTACTGTATTCTTTATTACGGTGAAGCTAACGTTTTGGAGGATTTCATCTTCATCAGAGCCCAGAGAGCTCAAGTTGATTGCAGCGTACCAAGCCGAATACCCCCACAAACAAGAAAAGAAAGTGCTAAACTAGGATTTTAATAAAATTGAAATCAAAATAGATTTTGAGCACGTTCACTGCCTTCTATGAGTCTTCCACTGAGTATTTCAAGTGGTGACTAACCGCACAAAGCTCACATGGAAGCGCAATGTGCCTCTCGAATGAAAATCACCCTTAGATACTGTGTGAGATAACGCGTGATAACGAGGTATTCCTCTCAGCTGTTCATTCTCCGATTCTCGAAAAGTATCCAGAGCGCCATGAGAGTTTTAGAAACGCGCATTTTCAATTTCTATGCGAGGATAGTAACATCTGTTTCAAAATCTTTCCCGTTATGCCTCTGTGTCCTATGCGCGCATAGTGTAGCATTTTGTTTAAATTTAAGTTTAACGACTAGGTGTACCGCCAGTGTATTCGTTTTTTCATGCTTTACAAGGCACTGGGCAGCCATAGGACACAAAAGCAAAACGCGGAGATTTTGAAGTAGAAGTTCTATCCTTGCACAGGAACCGAGAACACCGGAGTGCAAAATTCTCGAAGTTTTCTGGATACATTCCGAGAATCCGAAAAAGAACCGCCAGCAGGAATGCCTCGTAATTACGCATGGTCTCACAGAGTATTTAAGGCTGAAATTTTAATGTTAGAGCATATTACACTTCGACGTGAACTCTGTGCGGTTGGTCTCCACGTGACATACCTGCTGGGAGACTTATAGAAAGCGGTGAATGAAGGTGTATGAAGATCCTGTCTTGTTCTCAACGGGAATGGAATCTTGGTTCAACCTTTTGTTCGCTTGTTTGTGGAGGTTTGGTTTGGGTATACTGCAGTCAATTTGAACTTTCCAGGCTCTGTGGAAGGCGAAATCCTCCGGAACGTTGGCAAGCGTAATGAAGAATAAAGTAACACCTTGTGTTTTCTCAGCAATAATGTGGAGAATTAATTGATCAATGCAGCAGTCAACACAAAGCTCGTGCAAATTGCTTCAGTTCCTGAGAACATATTAAGATTCCATCTTAACAACCCTTATCTTTCCGTACTTTTGTTGAAAGCATTCATTTACAAACGAATCCTCTGTCGTCACTACCAGTTTGGCCGTGGACATAGATTCATTCGTACAACTAACAACTCCAATCGGACTTATACGGCTAAAGAAATGTGGACCAGGCCCAATACTGGCTTTGACAGTCATCGTCATCAACGTATCGACTTCAAGCTATGACGAAGAAGAAGTCGAAGCATTCTAGTATGGACTTGGTGGAGTTATACAGACAAGACCGTACATTCTTCAAGGTCATCTTTGGAGATTTTTAAACCAAGATTGGACCAAAAAGAATGTCTGAAAAACGGTACATTGGGACCCACGGATTAGAATGGAACGAGAAGGGTGAGCGGTTATCTGAGTTTATCATAGCAACGAAAATAATCCATGGCAACTCGCAATTCCAAAAGCCCCACCCTCAACGCTGGACGTGGGAATCTCCCAATGGAGAGTACGAAAACGAAATAGATCAAATCATACTAAATCGTAGGTTTTGCCTATCCGATGTCGTTCTTATCTCAAAACTTCACGGAATCAGAAGATTACTCTCTTCGTCCAAGATTTCATTCCTCTCGGAAAGGTGAAATATCTTCAAATTCAGAAAACAGGGTCGCAGAACCACCATAAACTGGGATTTATTCAGTTCGTTAGTCGGTTGTGAGAAAGACGCTGTTCTTAGTCACATCGAAAAAGAATACGATGGACTCATTTCACATAATCATATTGTCCCTGTAAAAGCTGAGAGTTTGAAGGTCATCTGTCTCTGGAAACACTCGAGCTGATACGCCACTGTGGAATCGCACGAGCTATAGGCAACCCCGCTGCAAATTTGCAAAACAATGCAGACAAACGACAAAAGAAGACCTTAAGGAGAAAAAAGCACCAGTTTTGGTAAAAGCTGCGGAGGTCAGGATAAGCATTCGCAAAGCCCACACGAGCTTCGCCAATTACAAAACCAACATTATTGCACTCCAGCGCCCACACAGAACAATTACAGCTTCCAGAAAGGCAATGGAGAAAATCATTCACGACTACTACTCCGATCTCTTCGTCACGTTGTCCTGCTCTCATATAAAATAAAAGAGGATGGATATGTTGTACCACCAGTTTTCTCCTCTAAAATTCGACATGTTATTTCGTCGTTGAATAATTGAAGAGAAAACCAAGTTCGGACAGAATAGGATCGGAACATGTGAAGAATCTTGCGCCATTCTTCACAAACACATTGAGCTGGCTCTTCACACACTACCTGTCTGAATGCAAGAAGAGCTTGTCTCATTTTCATCGATGTAAAGAATGGTTTCGACTCAGCTGAGAGTCTACTCAGTATGTAGAGAAACTTCGTGAGCTGTACAAAATTTTCGCAACCAAAATGCCTCCACTGCACAGCGATATTAACATCGATATCAAAAGAAGGGTAAGCAAGGCGATAGCAACTCGCCAAAATTATTTAGCGCCATCTTCGAGAACGTCATGCGAACACTGGAATGGGACAACGGGAGAGTTAAAATCGATGGTCGGCAATTACACCATTTTCGCTTTGCCAATGACATCGCTCTTTTAACACCAAACACTAGTCGAGTAAAACGAATGCCTGCTGAATTTCAAAAGGCTTGTCGAAAAATTAATCTCTGACTAAATTCCACAAAACGATGTTTATGGAGAACGGATTGGATACGTATGACCCGTTTACACTCAACGAAACGAGTACTATCTATGAGTACTCCAGTTACGTCTATCTAGGTCGGAAAATCAGCATGATGAACGACCTAGCTCCGGAGTTGAGGTGAAGAAAATGAGTGGCTTGGGGATCTTTCAAGAGCATCGATGATGTAGTGAAGAGAACAAAGAACACCCGACTCCGTGCCCACCTTTTCGACTCAACGGTACTTCCTGCTCTAGCGTATGCGTCAGAAACCTGGTTGCCGCATAAGCAGTATGAAAGATCATTCAGCGTTATCGAACGTGCAATCGAAAGGACAATGCTAGAGGTATCCCGTGTCACGCAACTGAGTGAAGAGATTTGATGCTCCGACCTGCGTTAGCGATTGGAAATCAAAGGTGTCGTTGTATACGCCAAATTGTCGAGGATGAAGTGGGTCGGATACGTAATGCGTATGAACGACAGCCGATGGACAAGAGCCCGTAAGTGACTGGATTCTTCCAGATGTCAGACGTATTGCAGATAAACTATCGCTCGATAATATTTCGAAACCGACTTTCTCTAAACCTAAAAGCTAAACCCCTAAAAACCCCTAAAAAAGCTTATCAAGAAAGAATACATATCGCTCGATAGTCGGTTTTTTCACGAAAACCCTGGATGCTCATCGAGTCCATAGATGGAGCGGAACCTACCGGGACATTCTTGCACGCGACAGGAAGAAATGGAAGATTTCCGCCTCTTGCTCGTTTCAGTCGACGATCAACGGAACGACAGTTGACGCAGATGAACAGAAAAACAGTTAATGAAACAATATAAAAGAGATTTTTTTGATACTTTTCCAGCATTTTACTTACCAAAAACATTTTTTAGAACGATTTTTTCACCTTTATTCACCTCCATCTTTTCACCAAACTTTTATTGGCAATTTTTTCTGGAATGCTTACCTTTGCCCTATTTGTTTTGTTTTCGTTTCCTAAAAGAATACTGTACAGAGATCGTCAGACAAAAAGAGAGCTACCTGCTGAAAAAGTTG